TTTGTACCAGGGATTGAACTCCAGTCCTTGTGCTTGTGAAGCAGGCGGTGAAACCACTGAGCTAAATCCCTGGCCACCAGCTTTTTAAAATTTCTTATGTTCAGGTCTGTCTCCCTCAGAAAAGCTATTAAGTACTTGTACCAGCTAGGTACTGCTTTGTAACAAATCACCTGCAACTCCATGACACTGAATAATCTTTATTATTGTAGCTCACATGTCTGGGGAGCTGGGGTTGGGTGACCTTGGCTAAGCTCTTCTGGACTCTTTCTGATCCTGTGGCTCAGCTGAGGCCTCTGCTTCAGCTTACTATGGGAGATTAGATGGACAGCTCTCATCTTTCTCTAGAGAGCAGCAGGCTAGCACAGCCATGTCCTTCTCATGGTGATGACAGAAGTCCAAGAGGAAGTGCAACCAGGCTAGGCTAGGAATTGGCACACTATGACTTCTACTCCATGTACTGGATCTACTGGTGGAAGAAAACTACATGGCTGAGCTCAGAATCAAGGAGTAGGTAGTACAGGCTTCCTCTCAATGGGAGGAAATGTAAGGCTACATGACAAGAGGGTGTATAGGAAGGAATGAAGAAGTAGGGTCTTTGGTGTAATTTATTACACACTCAAGGGCAGATTCTTCTCTATTTCCTTGTATTCACCAGCCCTGTGTTGTATATAGATGTATCAGTTACCTATTACTTTGTAGCAAGCTAGCCCAAATTAAAAAAAAATTGTAATAGCTTAAAATATCATCCATTTTATTCACTTCTGGTTCCATGGGCTAGCCAGCCAAGGCTCATCTCGGATGGCTCATCTCTGCCTTATGTGATGTTAGCTGGGTTCACTCATGTAGAATTCACAGGACCAGCCTCATCAGCTGGACTGCCAGAACACTGGAACCTCCCTCTCTTTATGATCTTTTCCAAGGCCCCTGTCTCTGTATAATCTATCAGAACAGCTGGACTTTTTTCTCCTACAGCCACCACAGGGTTCCAAGAGAATAAAACCAAGGCCTCTAGAAGCAGACTCAGAAGCTGTACAGGATTTCTTCTGCAATCTGTTGGTGAGAGGAAATCACAGGGCTGGCCCAGATTCAGTGAGGGGAGAAATACATCAGACTCTTGATGAGAAGTATGGCAAGTTGCACTGCAAAGGGGCCTATGAGATAGGAGGGATGGTTGCATCTGTCTCTGGAAAGACAATGCCACAATAATCAGATGCTACTGAACACTTTTTGAATGAGCATTTGGATAAATAAATGAAGCACAAGCAGAGAGTGCTAGTGAGAAGGACTCCAGCACAAGATTCTGCTGATGCAAGAAAAGTAATCATTTCTTTACTTTGTAGTTATCTTCAGATTTGTCTACAGACAGCACAGATGATGGATTTCCTCAGATCCGTTGGCATCAAACAGCAGATTTTGGCTTCGTACCTAACCCAAAGATGCCTAATACTTTCATGGCTGTAGCTATGGATCTCTGTGACAGGGACTCGCCTTTTGGCAGGTATGGGCTTTGCCTGACCAGGGTATGTTATTTGCCTGTAGCCCTTTACTCTGATATTCACTTGTGAGGGGATAGATTCCAGTGATTGCGAACCTTTTAGAGCTTTCAGTGATAACAAACAGCCTGCTGGGCACATGTGCCATAGATTTGCCACCGCTGGTTAGGCTATAGATTGGAGCTTAGGTGCACTATATTATCAGTCATCTCTGCTGGAATGTGCTTCAGTAACAATGACAACAACAACAACAACAACAACAACAAACCTTCAACATCTCAGTGCTTTGATGCAACAAAATTTATTTGATGCTCACACTGACCAAAGGAAGTCAACAGAAACTTTGGTTAAAGTCATTTACAAACGGAGACTAACTTGATCTGTTTTTCCACAGTCACCTTCTAGTCTCATACTGGCAATTAAGTTCTTCCATCTGGAGGCAGTCTAAGTCCATACTGCATCAGCCAAACATCATTATATGGCCATGGTCACTCCAGTGAGAGTAGGCCATGGGATTCTAGCATGGGCTCAGAGCAGGATGGAATCTTTGGGAACAGCTCCAATGAGTGCCATATACTATCTGTAGGATACAAGGGGATTTCAAATATGAAATGGAGCCCGATACACAAAGTCTAGCCTATATTAGGAACTTGATTATTTATTGAATGAACAAATAAAAGCTAGTAGGGACCAAATGAAAAATAGCTGATTTAGATGGAACACATGGCTTTTAGTGGTTTGGAATGGTCATACATGTTTGCTCTCCTAGGTTAGCTCCAATGGATTTGCTCTCACCCTGTCTTTATTCTTTCCTTCTAATCCATTGATGGCTTCAAAGTTTCCAAATCCATAAAGGTCCAGAGCCCCGCCTATGTTTACCACTCACCATTTCTCTTGAGGTGACTTTTCAGTGAGCATGGAATTCAGGCAACTTTATTTTTATATTCTTTTTTTTTTTTTTGGTACTGGGGATCCAACTCGGGTCCTTACGCTTGCGCAGCAGGCGGTGAAACCACTGAGCTAAATCCCCGGCCCCCTATTCTTATATTCTTAAAGGTTGCTTTGTATAATCTTTTAAAAAATATGCTTATTGTTAAGCTCAAACTCAAAGTTCTTTGTTGTTCTTCATCCCTGTAGCATCCATCCCAGGGATAAACAGACTGTAGCTTATCGGCTGCATTTGGGAGCCCGTGCTGTGGCTTATGGTGAGAAGAATTTGATCTTTCAAGGACCACTGCCTGAGAAGATAGAACTCTTAGCTCACAAGGGTCTGCTCAATGTTACGTATTACCAGAAAATCCAGGTGCAGAGGCAGGACAAGAAGATATTTGAGGTGAGGAGGGGCTCATCCCATGCTTAGAGTCAGGATCCCTCTGTTCCAATGTTATTCTTTCTCATTATACTATGATCATGAGGCAGATCTGGGTTGGATGGGGGCTGAGTCGAGTTTAATCTTGGAGGGATAAGGAAGCAGCTATTCATTAGCTTAGAGGCAATTTTGATAGGCAGGACAATTAAGGAAGGAGAACAAATCTCTACTAAATGATACTCCTTTTGTAGTCTCCCTCCCAGAGTAACCATCTTTACTCAGGGAAGGGCCTGCAGCCTTATTTGTAGTTATCTATTGAAAGATCATTCCTCCAGAATATTCCACTCATCCTTGGGTGAATTTTTTTTTTGTTACACTGTTCTAAATTCTGACATTTTTTGAGTTTTGTCTCCTTTGAAAAGCTTAAGCTTGGTGATTTGTAACTTAGTGTGAGTTAATGTAATGCAACTACTTTCTTCTAATACCTAGCCGAGATAATTATTTAGGAATCTTACATAGTTGAGGGTGGGTGGTGGAAGTATCTCTGGATGGAACGTCTAAGTGAGTGTCTTTGGGAATCTTAAGGCCATTAGGCTCGGAGAAGGTATGGAAAGAGGGCATCAGAGAAGAGAGAATATTAAACACAAACTTCACCCAGAAGTTTAGGGTGTTTCAGCTTCTTTGGAATCCTGAGTATACAGTATCCACCTGCCTCAGCTTCCTGGTCAGTGTTTGTCCTACTTAGTTTCTTTCTAGGCTCATTTTTAGGTGAATTTAGATTCCCAACAAGCCTGGGCATTCTGAGTTCTTTCAGTTGCTGGCCATCTGCCCATCATCTAGTGCCACAGTCATAGTTGTAGTCAGGAGAGAATTTAACCTTTGGGTCCTGGACAATGTGTTCCCTTTTCTGAATTGCCTTCTGACTGCGGAGGTGCAGTATCCACCGCTCTTCTGGGAGCACCAGGGAGCAGTGGCAGCAGCTGGGCTGCTGGGGTCACTTACATTACTGCCTGCTTTGCCATCTCGTGGAGGGACCACTGAAGCCTGTCCAGGGGAGCCTCCCTAAGTGCTTTATATGACTGTGCTTCCTTGTCTTCCTAAGTTAATGTTTTATTTAACATTTATTTTGGTACTGGAGATCAAAGCCAGAGCCTCGTGCACTCTAAGCACGAGCTGCCCAGCCTACGTGAACATACATTACTGACTTGTGCCCTTTTCAACCAGGCCCAACCTGGATTAGGTTCTGGTTATTGTAGGAAATGGGTCTCTGGTCAAAAGTGACTCCTTCCCTCCTTTCTAGTTTGTCTGAAAGTGCAGTTCCAGTTTCTTGGAATACCCTAACTGACCTTACCACTTGTATTTTGACTCTCTTATTAGATCTCATGTTGCAGTGACCATCAATGCAAGTGGCTTCCAGCTCCCATGAACACTTTCTCCACCCAGATCCTGACCTTGAGTATCAATTCTTGTCTTGGGACTGTGGCTGCTGTTCGCTATGGCTGGAGCACATGGCCTTGTGAATATAAACAGTGTCCCCTCTACCACCCCAGCAGTGGCCTCCCAGCTCCTCCTTTCACTGCTTTCATTACAGACTAGGCTCCTGGACTGCCAAATGACAGCTCCAGTATGGTCAGATCTTAGATTAAATGATGACAACTGTTGCTTTTAAAGGAAATTTATAGAACGCCTCACTGAACAGCTGCCAGCTAGCACTTGGCTATATATTCTGAGATAACTGGGGCTGGCAGGCAACCTGAAATACTTGCCTTTGTCCCCTTTTTAGTCTAAGCCTTGACACTGGACTAATTCTGAACTACAGCCAAATTGGATCAAGATATCATACCCTGGGCCGGGGATTTAGCTCAGTGGTTTCGTCGCCTGCTGTGCAAGCGCAAGGACTCGAGTTCAATCCCCGGTACCAAAAAAAAAAAAAAAAAAAGATATCATACCCTACCCTATTATTGAGAATGAGGTGTCACTTTTGGCCCTTTTCCTCCAGAATTATGGAATGTCAGGGTTAGCAGGTTTTAAAGGCCATAGAGGCTGACTAGTGCTTCCCGTGTCCTTTGCAAATTCTTTGACAAGTGGTTATTGAATCCCGTAACAAGTTCCCATTCTAAACTTTCCAAGTTTTTCTTCACATGGAACTGAAATCTCTCATGAAATTTTACTACATGAGTCTTTCAGATAATTAAAGACAAACTTATTTGTATTTTCTTTAAACCCAAAACAATTCTATTCCTTCAGTCTAAATAATGACTGTTTAAAAGAAACCACCAGACCCATGCAAGCATATTGGGAGGGGGTAAGAATCTGTCGTAAGGAATGAAAGAGAAAGGGCCAGGATAGTAGTCCCAAGAAGGCACTCAGGTGGCAGTAACTGAGGGATGGTGGGGTTGGATCACAGGTTTAGGAAAATATGACAGTAGAGGTAACTAAGGCAAAGTGTCATTAGAGTTAAATGTAAGTTTTAGGCCCTTTCGAGGCAAAAAAACTTCAAGATGATCCACACAGAAGGAAAAAAAGGCTGAAAGTAAAGCTACATGATAAGCTTATAAAAAAGTGCAGATGAAACATGTGAAAGGCTTTTACCCATATTAAGAATCATACTAGTTGATTAAAAATAGCTGATGACCACTGAGACTTAAAGCAATAAACATCACTCCAAGGAGTTCTGGTGTAATGCCAAACAGCAGAAATAACTTTTATCAGTGTTTTTATTTAGTAAAAAATTCAGGAAACCAACTGTGTGCCCTGCAAGGAACTTTGGCTCCTCCAAGGCTTACCTAGTGTAGTTAACCTCTCTTTATGCTGACCCCATGGGAACCATGAACCTAGTAATAGATTCCTGAAGAAAAGTAAATCTACCTGTCCACCTCTCTCCTACCTCCCACTAAACATACACCCATGGGCTGTTCTAATTTGGAGGCAGCTGGAGGTAGCCAAGAATTCTATGCCCAAGTTCTTGTACTACTTGTTATAGTTTATTTCTAGATGGCTCCCTAAAGCCTCATGCACTCATAGGTGGGGTTTTGGGGAGGTGGTTGGATCATGGAGGTGTGATACCAGTGAGTTTATAGTTAAATGTGATTTGTTAAATGTGATGAGTTAAATGTGATGAGTTTATAGTTAAATATGATTTGGGAAGTGAAGCTTGGTCTGAGGAGGAGGGTCACTGGGGATGTGGCCTGGAAGGGTCTCCCCTTCCTCCTCCCTTGATCTCTCTGCTTCCTGCCTGCCATGTCATGAGCTGTTTCTTCTCTGTCATGTCCTTTTGCTATGCTGCCCTGCTTTGCAGCCTGCCAACTATGGACTAAAACCTCTCAAACTGTGAGCTGAAATAAATCTTTCCTCCTTTATGTTGTGGGTGTTGAGTATTTTGTCTCAGCAACAAAGAAGGTAACTAAGACAAACAGCCAGTAACCTAGTTCACACAGTGCAAAACATTTGGTTTAGGTATTAGATATATTTTACCTATACACATCAAGTTGTGTAAATGAATTTATTTTCAGTGGCTGAATAATTTAAAATATACTGTGGGAATTCAGTGTATATTTCCCCAAATGGAAATAACTTTTTACTGCTTGAAAATGAACTAATCACTGTAGAAAATAGAAATTAAAGAAAAGTATAAGTAAAAATCATGCCCAAAATCATCATTCAGAGAAAATATTTTGGTGAACATTCACTTGATTTGGGTTACATAATACACCATATAGTATATTGTTTTGTAATGTGTTTGTTGACATTCTACCAAAATAATTTTATGTTTTTAAAGTACTGGGGATTGAACTCAGGACCTTGCACTTTTGAGGCAGGCAGCAGCACCACTGAGTTAAATCCCCGGCATCAAAATAATTTTCTTATGTAAATAGATTTAGAGTGTTATAGTTTGTAGAAGCCCCATTTTGTGTTCAACTAATTATTAATGGACATACTGTTTTTTTTTTTTTACAAATTTCTCTGTTAAACTAATATTAAGATGAGTTTTACATGCAAGCAACATACGTCACTTGCTCAGTTATTTCTTAGGGTCCTTAACATGGAATAACAAGTTAAAATCAACATATATTTAAAATTTTAATCTCTCCAGCTTAATCCTAATAAAGAAGTAGGCAATACGCATTCCTATTAATATATTATTTCTCCATCTTGCTACTTTTAGAACATCTTTAATAATCTGACATATGAAAAGATTCTAATTATTGGGCAGTGTTTTTCAAGTTTTTAAGAATTCATGATCATTTGAAATTTAGTAACATTTGATATCACACAGTCTTTCTCCACGTGATGTATTCCAATATGTTCTAATTGTTTTATTTAACTAAGAGATGTGGGTGTTGACTCTCTTAAGCTCAGGAACAACCAGTGAGTTGAGATTTGTAGTTTGAAAAACAGTTCTAGTAACTTGTACTAATTTATTTTTAAAAAGTCTTTCTAAAATGAGGCTTTTAATACAATGTTTTACTCAGGCTGTAAGAGAATGGAAAAACATTTCTTATAAGATAATGGAAGCATCTATCATTTTTGGCAAGTGTAAATGTGCCCCAGCAACTTATGTAGAAAAACAAGATAAAAGAAAAACACTGAAACATCAACAGCTTTGAGTAATCCTCTTACTTACCCAAACTTTATACTATTTCTTTTGCACTGTAAAAGTTATACAAACTTAAAAAAAGACTAAGAATTATAAAACTCATACCACTTAATAGTTGGTGATAAGTCCGCAGTGGCCAGCAAGGTGTGCTGTAAACATTACACCTTCTGATCTCTCCCTCTACTGGTCACTATGAAAGGCTAATCCCACTTGTAGTGTTTTCACTTGGCAGTCAAGAATTATAGCACATGAACAGTTCATTCTTTTCTTTTTTTTTTTTGGTACCAGGGATTGAACTCAGGTCCTCGGGCTTGCGCAGCAGGCGAGGAAACCACTGAGCTGAATCCCCGGCCCCAAACAGTTCATTCTTAACACTCCTTCCGTATTCTTCTACTTCTGGTCCTTTGGTTCTCCCACCTCCCACCCCCACCCTACTGCACCCAGCCCTGGGTACCTGATAGATGGGGAGCTAAGGCATCTCACAAGGTAGTGTGGGGTTAGTAGTGATAGGGAATGCTTTTAGCAGGGTCCAAAGAATTTAGTTGCTAGGTGTGGAGTTGTTATATAGCTAAAATGAAATGTCAGAGCTGAGTCTCTTATGGAGAATGGGAACTAATCCCCAACTATGGTATATTTGAATTTATATTAATACGTGATTTCAACACATGAGCTAAAAAGCACACTCTCCAATAAGAGCTGAGGGGATGTAGAAAGGGTCAGACTTTTTGATCTCATTCAAGGAGGTTTAAAATCTAAAAAAAGATTAACAGTGTACCTTCAACGGGATTTTCCAGCTTAGGTATAAGCAGAGAATTTTTTTTTTTGTATATCCTTTTATTGGTACATTTTAGGTGTACAACATAATGACATTCATCATTGGAGATATGCACCTTTACATACTCTCTTGGTTCTTATTTTTTCCCCCTTCCCCTGCCCTCCCTTCAACCTCTCTATCCCTCCCTATTTACAAAGACTTTGTTTCCTTTTTTTCATTTTCTCATATTAATTCCATTGTTTTTTTTTTTTTTTTTTTGGTACCGGGGATCGAACTTGGGACCTTGTGCTTGCGAGGCAGGTGGCGGCACCACTGAGCTAAATCCCTGGCCCCATTGTTTTTTTTTTTTTGATGATACTGAGATGAAAACAAAGGGCCGGGGATGTAGCTCAGTGGTGTTGTGCCTGCCTGGGAGACACAACAAAATCCTGAGTTCCCAGTACCGAGATAAAAGAAAAGAAAAGAAAAGAAAACAAAGAAGTAGTCCAGGTTGCAAGGGCTAGGGGACTTCATATTCCTTGGGCTAGGATCACAGTCAAAAGTAGAGGGTTGTCAGACTCTTACTGTCTCCCATAGCTTCAATGTTTGTGTTAAATAGTAACCTCCAAAGATGGCATTAGGAGGTGGGGTGTAAGTGAGGTGATTAATCATAAAAGCTCTAGTGGGATTAGTGTACTTAGAAAAGAAAAGCTATTTTGCCACTTCCACCATGTGAGGTTACAGTAAGACAGAGGTGTGTGAACTAAGGAACTGGTGCTCCCCAGACACTGACTCTGCTGGCACCTTGAATTAGGACTTGCCAGCCTCTAGAACTGGAGAAATAATTGTTTTTAAAGTAATGGGAATTGGACTCAGGATTGTGCTTGCTAAGCAGTAATACTGTTATATCTCCAATACTTTTTAGTTTGAGACAGGGTCTCCCTAAATTGTCTAGGCTGCCCTTGAACTTGTATCCTCCTGCCTCAGCCTCTCAAGTAGCTGGGATTATGGGTGTGTGCCCCATGTCCAACAAGAAATCCATGTCTGTTTGTAAGACACTCAATTTATGGTATTTTCTTATAGCAGTCTGAAGAGACTAATATAGCAGCTCTTGTAGTCAGGCAGAGTGGAGCACAAAAGGATTATATCCTGATTACAAGAAGATGGAAATAAGCAGAACTCTCAACAGAAATTTATTACTGAAAATAAAGCAAGTGAAGTTTTCTCAGGGTACACTGTCACCACGGGAACCTCCATGATGAAATATATTATCTTCTTTATTTCTGAATTGCTGCCTTCCATACAATCCAAGTTAAAAACATTCCTTATGATGAAAATGAAGAGGCTCTGACCTCCTCTTGTTCAGTCTGAAGACTGGGCTGGGCTACATTGTGGTGTAGACTCCAGGTGCTGTAGATGTGTCTCTACCAAGGGTTCCTGGGTTAGGAACTCAGGCTGATAAGAGGCCACATAGGCTGCAGACTGCAGCGCGGGGAGGTCCAAGGATCCTAGAGAAAACAAGTCCTTAAATTCCACAGCTGCCTGTGAATCTTAGTAGTGTTTTGTCAAGATACACGTGTGGCTTTTTAATTCTTTAACACCCTTACATCTCATCTGTCAGCCCACTTTTGCCCTTGGTTGGTCAATCAGGACATTTACTTTTACAGTGAAGTAAACTGAAGTAGATGAAGTGATTTGCCTATGGTTACACAGCACACTAATACCTTATATGACTCCAATGCTGAAACCCCTGATCATTCTACCCATTTGTGGGAAGGAATCCATGCCAATGTAACAACCTGAGACTTTTAACTTCACTTGAAATGGTATTCCATTTATAGAAAGCTTTCCTGTGTTCCACTTAGGTCTTAGCTTAGAGAATGACATACTGCAGTTTTTTTGGGGGCCCTGCCTTGCTGGAATCACAGGTGCTTCCCATACCTTCTATGAGTAATCTAGGGATCTAGGCAGGCTGCATCCCCTCCCTCCAATTCAATACTCTCTGCAGTAGAATCAGTGAAAATTTCTATCACTTACTGCCCAGATATTTGGAGTACCCAGCAATGTGTGAAGGAGGTATGGTGTTTTCAAACCAGAAAAGCAAAGTGAAAAGATACCTGGAAAAATGGGATCATGATGGTCTTCGTCAAAAGTTTGTCTCTGAAAAGCTTCAAAGCTGACAGCTGCATCATTCTCTGGTGGACCCTGGGGTAGCTGCTCTTCTCCAGGTTTGCACACATCAAATTTCACCCACTGGTAACTGCAGGATCAAAGGCAAACATTCTTGAGGTTCTGTGCTAGTCTGTAATAACTCACCTCTACCTCCAAAGGGGTCAGGTTTTTTTTAGGCTTCCTCCACATACATTGAGAAGACATACTAAGGAAAAAAAAAACATGAAAGAAAATAGGCAGGCCTCTTTCACGACACATATTCTGCTAGACCTGTCAACCACCCCCCACCCCCCGCCTCTTTTTTTTGGTACCGGGGATCTAACTTGGGACCTTGTGCTTGTGAGGCAGGCAGTGGCACCATTGAGCTCAATCTCCAGCCCACCTGCCAACCCTTTTGCTGTTATGGCTTACAAAGAAAATGATACAAATTAAGCATCCCTAATCTGAAAATCCAAAATTCAAAAAGCTGCAAAATCTGAGTATTTTTTGAGTGTCCACCTAAAGCCACAAGTAGAAAATTCCACAGTTGACTTCATATGACAGGTCATAGACCAAATGTAGGTGCACTAAAAGTACTGTGTAAAATTACCTTCAAGTTATGTGTATAAAAGCATGAATGAATTCTTTGTACTTGGGTCCCATCCCTAAGATATCTCATTTATATGCAAATATTCAAAACCTGAAATATTTCAGGTCCCCAGCATTGTGGATAAAGGGTATCCAACCTATAATAATTACAGTACAGTGGGGTTCTGGCTCTTGCTCATCAGTCTAGAGTTATAAAAGGGTCAATACTGAGATACATTTGTCAAGAAGCCAACATGCCTTGGATATAGTTGTTCAATAAATGTATGAATGGCTGGGCATGGTGGCACATGCCTATAATCCCAGCACTTGGGAAGCTGAGGCAGGAGGATCACTGCAAGTTCAAGGACAGCCTGGGCTATATAGTGAGTTAAAGGCTATTCTGAATTACATGGCAAGACCCGGTCCCCCCTCCCCCCACCCCAAAGTATGAATAAAGAGTAACTGCCAGTTTAGGTCTCTGATTGGCTGATCACTGAACTTAACTCAATGGAATGGGTTTGATCACACTTACTTGACACACTTTCGAGCTCCTGGAGAACTCTGTATCAGGTTGTGGATGGTTGGATGAGAAAACCCAAAAAAGTCAGCTCCTGATGGAAGCAGGTTAGGCATCAATTTCCCCCTAGAGAGGAGAGGAAGAATATGAGTTTGTGAGCTTAGAGGGAGATGAAGATGAATTTAAGAATGGAATGGTGGTATGAACACAGGCTAAGCTTTCTTGACTTAGATATCTGGAGATTCTAGCTAATAAGATGTCTAAAGGATGCAGGACAGGTCTTTAGAAAACAGGATCTCTCTTCACTAAAAGCAAGAGAAAAGGTCTACATTGACCTTTTAGCCTGTCTTTAATCTGTTGGTCAACTTACACAGTATCACTGATGGTCCTGAGCAGTTCTTCATGACAACCATCTGCAGAAGAGCTGACAATAGCATTCTGGGGGTCATCTTCAGGAACAATTTCAAACTGGGGACAAAAGAACAATTAGATCAATCTGCAAGGAGGAAGCAGAGACATATTACTCTATTTCTTCACTCTAGATCTTGAAGCTGCTGTATACCACACTAGAAAGTGGGCACAATTTCCTGTTAAGACACACAAGTAAACAGAGAAAGGCTTTTATTTCAGTTTTATACTTCTTGGTTATTTTGTTCCCTAGCCTTTCTTATCCATTTACTTATATCATTAAGCTAAAATACAGATACTGTTTTGAAAATAAATGGGTGCTCCATGTCCAGTGATATGTTTTTTGTTCCCATTTGCACATTTCTCTAGGAAATACAAGATTATCTAGAAGCACCATATTCTGGGTCAAAGGATGTATTTCTTAAAATTGTTGACACTGCCAAGTTGCTCTACAAAAAGATACCAATTTTGGGTCAGGGATTTAGCTCAGTGGTTCTCCCACCTGCCTCGGAAAGCGTAAGGTCCCGAGTTTGATCCCCAGTACCAAAAAAAACAAGAACAATTTTCACTCTTACTAATATATACTTGTTTTCTTATATACCCTATTAAAGATATCAAATTCTGATACTTGCCTATGGGAAGAATTAAGGTCTCATTTTTTGTTTTATCTGACTGCTTTCTATCTTATTCTATAGGATAATTTACCTGAATATTAATCCTTTCCTATATATTTTCTTCCTGTTTGTTGCTTGTGTATTAATGGTGTTTTTTTTTGTCATTTAGAAGTATTTCAATTTTTAATAGTCAAATCTGTTATTTTCCTTTATGGCTTCAATGTTTCATGTCTTGCCTAAGCAAACCTTTTCACCTTACCCTAAGATTTTAAAAAGTTCTTCTACATTTTCCTTTAACATTTATTTATTTATTTATTTATTTATTTTTCCCCCTTCTTCACAAAGCTGTTTATTCCACATTTTATTGTTGTGATGTCCCTGACTGTGAACTATAGCCTGGCAGCTCATCCTCATGTCCTTTAACATTTATAGTATAAAACATTCTGTAAAGCTAAAGTGATTAATTCACACTGGCACTTAGACAAATAGATCAATGAAATAGAGTCATCTGGGAACAGATCCAAGTATTACATATATTTATGTACTAATGTCAGTTGATGTTGGGAAAAAAGCTAAATTCCTAGTTCAGAAAATACCTACAAATATTTTGTCTCGTTACCTAAAACTGAAAACTGAAAACTTCACAGGTTCTTTTTTTTCAAAAATGTTTTAGCATTTTATCTTTAGAAGAAATTAAGAATCAGCTTATTAATTTTCATTAAAATTCGATTAGGATTTTGATTAGATTTGCATTGCACTTATAGATTTGTCATAAATGTGGCCTACTGCTTACAACAGTCTTTCTGTTTGAGCACTTTCCAGGTGTGACAGGCAGGCTCAGGCTTCTCCCAGCCTCTGTGCAAAGGTTCTTTACCTTGCCTGTACCTCCTCGCATCCAATCTAGTGATCTGTAATTTTGTTAGTGAAGCTTGGAACTCTGAAAATGGTCTAATTTTTCCTAAGGATCAAGAGGTGAAGGATGGGGAAATAAACTACATAGTATCTTACACTAAGAAGGATGAAGAAAGGTCTCGAACAAGAGTAGGATTTGAGACTCTCAGGTCCTTAAGGATAGGCACAGCCTCTTTTGAGTATGCAGTCTCCTTGCTACCTCCACTTTGGTCCAACCTGAAATGGCAGTGCATCAAACTAATCTTTCCCGAGCCTGTACTTAACATAAGTAGGCTTGATCTGGCTCACATAGTCATAAGGACAGTAGAAGTAGCATGGTTCACAGGAGAGGCATCAGTTTGAGAATTAGATTCATATCCCAGTTCAAGATGTGACTTAGGGCTAGTTGCTTTTTCTGCATCTCTGGTTACCCACGTGGCAATTATATAGTATCTACCTTGTGTCAGAATAGGTAACACATAGTAAGTGCTAGAACAGACAAGGTTCTCAAAAAGAAAAAGTGGTTATACTTGAATGGGTACCTGAGGCTGCATACCACCGTCCTTGATCTGGCAGGTATACAGACACATCTGGTCTGGGCACTTCACGCTGCCATACACTCGAGTACTGCAGTAGCCCACAGGGTAGATGGCACTCTCATCATGGAAGCCAGGTCGGTCGGTGATGATCTATAAAAGATTCCCCCAACTTGGGACTGAGAGACTGAAGGCTTTACATGTCCAGTTTATGTGGTAGCCTTTAGAACCACTTTGGGGCTGCAAAGAGTGGCTGAAATCACAGAGAAAAAGTGTCTGCTGTGTAGCAGACAAAACTGACCTGGTTTCGTTAGGGACTGGAGTCTTTCTGGGGTTGGTACGGTCAGCTGGGGCTCTTGCTAATCAGAACAGGGAGGGAAGGCTCAACCCCATTACCATGTTTCTCTGACTCTCCTCTCTGTACGTCCGTCGCTGGTCTCACTCACCTCCCCCAGGCTATACACTGTTAGACCCCCTAGTCCGATGGGAAACACAGGCCGTCCAGAGGGATCCAGGGCAATGGGCTGGACCAGCTTGCGAGCACCTCCCTCCATTTTCTTTTTCTTGGATGTTTTCTTCAGAACTGAAACGCAAATCTTGGGTCACCCACTTTAGCACCCTCTCAATGCTGAGGGGAAGGGAAAGATTTACATGTGAACACTAAGGGCAATAAGCCAATCATAGTTTTACATACAGATGGTCCTCGACTTACAATGTTGTTAGGTCCTGATAAACCCATCGTTAAGTTGAAAATATTGTAAACTAAAAATGCATATAATATACCTAACCTACTAAACATCATATCTTAGCAACAAAGTGTTTGTCCTTGCCCTTGTGCTCCTGTGGCTGAGTGGGAGCTGCAGTTCACTGCCACTATCCAGCAATGCAACAGAACATCATTCTGCATATCGATATCTCAGGAAAAGATCGCTCAAAATACAGTTTCTACTGAATGAGAATTACCTTCACACCACTGTGAAGCTAAAAAAATCATTAAGCCGAACCACTGTAAGTTGGGGACCATCTGTATTCACTTAAAAGGCATATGGGGCTTTTGCCAGAGGGCTTGAGTATCTCCGTAACCTGCCCACAGGCAGGAACCAGTTCCAATGTTAGGATCAGGGGATCAACGCCTTACATTTTTAAGTCCTCTTTACTTGTAAGATCAGAAATTTCCCAAGCTAGTAGTGTGCTCAAGAGGTCACCTAGCCCATTTCCCTGCCTCTAGAAAACACTGACGTGACTGCAACCCAGACAATTGGGGGAAAAGGGAGAGAAGAAGCTTTGGTCTGCTCCCTTTGCCTTTAACTAGATCTAACCAGAACCTTTCCACCCAAAGTGGCTCTAATAAGACACTTGCTTTGCCATGGGGCTTCTATGAGAATTATGAGACTTTAAGTGTGCATGTGGCCACATGTGGCTAAGAGTGCCATGTCTCGGTCATCTGTAGTTGAGCCACTGGGGCAACTGATGTACTGTCTCCCCAAAGTACCTTCCAGTTTGTTGTTTTCTTTGCCTTTTTCTTTTTTCTCCTTCTTGGATTTCTTCCCAAATGGCTCCTCAGCCCCAGTGCTGGGCCCAGACATGGGCCCAGCACCCTGTATAGTTCCCACAGAGCTGGCCACACCGTAAGTCAGGGGCAAACTGGAGCTGTGGGAAGGAGCTGCAGCCTGTACGTCCCCCTCAGTTAGAGCCTGAAGTTGGAGAAGCTTCTTTAGCAAGTACCTGGGGTCAGGAAAGAAAGGCAGCAGAGGTATGAAATTCTGTTCTGTTCTAATTCAATATTTTATTCAAGTACTGGGATAAGCCAAAGATTATCACACTCATAAAAATATAGCTCTTATTGAATCTTGGGAACAAGGAGGCCCAGGAGGATAATCAGCACTTCAAGAAGCCTCTCGTGCATCCAAAAGGGTCCTCCACCTTGAGGTTGGAAGGTGTTAGGCACTGAGAGGCATTTATTATAAATTAGGTGTATATGTACCCACTGTGCTCTACATTGAGTAGTACAGACTAAATATATGTACAATGAGCATTTCTTTTATCTTTGGCTTTTATAGTTGGGGTATTCTACCAAGATTACTTATTAGATGTGGTAAGAAGGGTTTGTCAGAAAGATGAGAAGAGGAGCTGTCACATCATCATGGTCCAACATGACTTGGATGTGTGTGAACTTATGCCACAGGTTGTGAGTTTCACTGTACTTGAACCCAAAATGAAGCTAGCTTACCTTCTTTCTTCTTTTGCTTTAAGGAATTTTTCTTCAAGACGAGCAATTTCATCACAAATAGCAGCATTTTCCTTTAAGAATAATTTTCATAAAATAAATGAAAGATCAAGGTATTGTATTGGGAAGAGGATCCTTATTTCAAATCAAGAAAGTCTATGTCACTGGGAAAGAAGGAAGGAATATTCTACCTTGCAGACAAGCTATAAATAAATCTAAAGGGAAAGGCAGTAAGGTTCTACTGTGGGCATGGTAACTGTATAATTTATGATCCAATGTCTCACACTTGTGAGGTAAAAGGGGGCACTATTAATGTCTATGCCAGAACAATATGGTGAGCCAGGATTTTCCTGGACAAACTAAAATGTACAGTCACATTCACCTTGATTAGGGTGGCCTTTGGCAGAGAAAAGAACATACTAAATTCATACTAGTATGTAACTATGAGGACTGTCCATGCCTTTTTGAGAAAATAGGCAATCTAACCCAAAACAACCCATATAATAGTACTTTAGAGAGAAAAACTAGATGGAACAAAATAAAATCTAATGTGTAAAATTCTTTCTTTTGGGTACTGGGGATTGAACTTGGGACCTTGTGCATGCAGGGCAGGCAGCGGCACCACTGAGCTAAATCCCCGGCCCCATGTGTCATTCCTAAACGTCATAATTTACTTGTACATGTTCAAATATCTTTTTTTTTTTTTTCCTGATGACTATTTCCTAAGCACCAATCCTAAAGGAAATGCTGTTCTGGATGCTTTACAGGTGGAACTCAAATTGAATGTTCAAAACATTCCTTTTCATCACAAAACTTTCTTCACATACTTGAGGGAATCAATATCCTTATGTTACTTAAATACAGACTCCAAGCTTTAGGTACCTTTGACATGTAGGGGATAAAAAAAAAGGAATACTTAATAAAAGGTAAAGTCCTCTTAATTCTACTTATTTTTCTCCAGTGCACATACCACGTGCTGAAAAAATGTTTTTGGAATGAGTATTCTAATTTCCAAACCTTTCCTTATGCTTCAAAAAGTGCATAGGAAGAAGAGGAAAACTACAGTTTCATATGTGAAAGGACACCGCAGGAATCCATCCCTATTCCCAAGCACTGAGGCAAGCTTGAGTAAGCCAGAACACTGTGATACAAAGTTATGGCTGGCAAGCCAGTTCGTTCATTCAATAAACCCGATGCCCCTACAATAAAACAAAGGAAGGGCCTGGGGGTGTAGCTCAGTAGTAGTGCACTCCCTAGCATGTTCAGGGCTCTTCTGGGTTCGATTCCCAGTGCAGTCAAAACAAACCCCAAAACACTTGCGAGACTCAAACGGGCTTATCAAGGGGAAATTACTGAAAGAGTTCAGAACATTTGTAGGCAAGGAGTCAGGAAAGGGGCTGTGGAAAGCTTGGGAAATAAGCTGTGTAGTGGAAATACATAATAAAGTGGGATTAGGGCATCTAGGAGTCAGGGCTCTGACACAGCGCCCTAAAGCAAATTACACATCTGAGGTTCAGTTTTCTCATTTTTAAAATAGTGCCTTATTCTCTGGTTATCTCGAAAATCCGTGCATTCTTGAGAATAGCTAATAACAATAAGGACCCAAACATTGGCAGATCTTCTAAGTACCAGGGACTTTATTTTCCTCATTTAATCGTCTGCAAAGTAGTCACTAGCTCCGTTTAGAGACGAGTAAACAGGATTAGAGAAACTAACTTAACCAAGGACACATGGTAAAGTACATGGAAAAGCTAACGCTATATTCATACTGTCCCTCTGGGGTGGGGGACAACTTGGGGAAAGACATCGCTAGAAAGCAGTCTCGCGACGGAGACTGTCTGAGGGACCAGCAGACTCACAAACACCGTGGCCTTTGCCGCTTTGCGCAGCCGCAGGTACTTTAGCCGGTACTTCTCGTTCTGGCTCTTCTTCGGAAGCTTTTTCATCCTGGCCTTGCTGGACTGCGGCGAGGCCCTCGGCGAGGAGGTGACGCTGCCCAGCGGGCTCAGGGACAAGCCCCACGACGGAGGCTCCAGGACGCGGCCGGCATTGGCTCCGAAGCCGAGGGGGCGCGGAAGCGGCTTTGTCTGCTCTGGGTTGGCGGATTCTGGCCTCTAGGAAACTAGGTCTACAGGAAGTCCCAAAAGCGGACTCCTGGACCAGAATTCCTGCGACCAAACCGGCTACCGGTACTTCCTAGCAGTTGCGCGTCTGTCTCGGAAGTGAGCCCCCCGGAAGTTACGTCAGGACGCAGACCGCGTGTACTTTCCGTGTCTGGAAGTCTGAGAGGTTGTGGGCCTTTGGATCCGTAGACTGGGGAGGGAGAAATGAGTTTGGGAAGAGATCGAGTGATCGCGGAGAGCGGAGAGCGGAGAGCGGAGAGCGGAGAGAGGGGTGGG